ATATTTAGACTCAATTTTTTCTAAAAAATATTTGATTATTTACAAAAATATGATTTATATCTATAAGTCTTAAAAAATTATTTAGAATATCCATAAATTTATTATCATTTTATAATGAGTATGTTCTGTTGAAAAAAAACCTTATCCATCCGAGCTAATCCATGCAGACTTTGACATTTTACGGGTCAGGACGAGTTAGCTCATTTTTTATATGGGCCAGAAAACGATCGGTCCAAACAACAAGTACGTGGGCTACAGGTTTGCCGGGCCAACCCACTTTTTAAAAAATTATATTTTTTAATAATTATTAAATTAAATTATAAATTATAATAAAAAATTATTATCATAAATATTGACAAAGCAATATTACATGATGTTAATGTTACTACTTGTTAATCAAATCCACAAATAAAAATATATTTATAATATTAATTAAGTTTTTTTCTAGTAAAATAATAAATATCTAAATAGAAATTCTAACTAATTGATTTGAATTTGGACTCTCTTTAATTTTAAAATTATATTATATCTTTTAATTAATTTTTGTTGGTCCACGGCCCGACCCTACCCATATTTTTCAAGCCTACGAATCAACAGACTTTTTCAGGCAAGGCTAAAAAGTCATTTTCTTAAATGGGCTCCAAAATTCTTAGCCCAACCTTATTAAATCCTGGTTAGGCCAGACCGGCCCAACGGACCTAGCCCTATTCACAACTCTAGTTTGGATCATTTTTTTTTTCAAAAATATTTGACTATTTCAAAAAATATGATTTATACCTACAAGTTCTACAAAAATTATTAGAAATATACATATGTTTATGATCAATTTATAATGAGTATGTTCCGTTTAAAAATAACCTTATTATATAATTGATAACAATCAACAATAACAAAATAACAATATAGTCAAAACAATACAATAATTACATATTCAAACTTGTCACTGATTCAACTATAGTTAAATTCATAAAATACAAATTGTTCAATATTCTCAATTTTATCGCTCAAATTAGATTTCAAATTTTTTCGGAGGATGTAGTAACAAATATTAGATGAAATTAATAAAATATTTTTAAAAAAATTAAACATACAAGTTTGGATAATTTTTGAATTTTTTAAAATTCCCAAACATTAAAACTTGGCTCAAGTACTGATTTTTTCTAGTATTCAAGAATCTGAAATACTTCGCCGCCAAGGTATATGATCAAACACCACTTCTCAAGATTTTTCCAAATATTTTTGGGCCAAACTTTCCAGATATGAAGTTAAGATAAAAATATATAGGGTATTTAATCTTCAAATTATGCATCTACCGCTTCATTTATTTATTATGAGAACAAAATACAGAATTCAACTATGTGATGCGAGACAACTCGTTCTTCTTCCTTACTATAACAAGGAAAATAGTACGCAAGTGAAATGAAATTTCCTTTTAATTATATTATAATGTCATTCCATATTAAAACTACGATTAAATTTGACGATTGATAATTAATTCGTAAGTAAGGAAGCTCCAAATCCACAAGATTTTCCAAGTCAAATACTCTAGTACAATTGCATACATCACCCCACAAATATTAGAGTGCGGAGCTAAAAGGGTAAAAAAAATTGTCAAAAATTTCAAAAGGGCACATCAATTTTTTAAAAAACCAAAACGGTAAAATCGCTCACGATGCAGCGACTTTTGCCTTTTGAAAAAGCGAAATCGCTGCAAATTTCTTAAATTTGCTTTTTTTTTAAAAAAAATTTAAATATATCGCTCCACGCGGAGCGATTTTCAAAATAATAATAAAAAATTACTTTTGTTATAAGTCGCTGCAGAAGCAGCGACTTCCATTAAGTTTTTAATTTTTTCTTTATTTAAAAAAAATTGATTCAATTTTTTTAAAAATAAAAATCATTGACAACGATTTTTAATTAGTTTTTTTAAAAAAAATCAAATCGTTGTAAAGCAGCGATTTACACTTAATTTATATTTTTTTAAAAAAATTAGTTAAATCGCTGCAAAAAAAATTAGCCGATTAAATTAAGTTTTCAAAAAAAATTGAATTCATAATTAACACATTTTTTGGGACTGATCTTTATATGTGTTTATAAAATGAATTCTTAATTAACACATTTTTTGCTTTACACTTAAATTTTTATTTTTTTTGAAAATTTAATTTAATCGGCTAATTTTTTTTACAGCGATTTAATTCAATTTTCAAAAAAAAATAAATTATAAATTAAGTGTAAATAGTTGCCTTTACAGCGATTTGATTTTTTAAAAAAAAAACTAATTAAAAATCGCTGACAATGATTTTTTTTTTAAACAAAAATTTGAATCAAATTTTTTTTAAAAAAATAAAGCAAAAAATAAAAAAATTAGTGCAAGTCGCTGCAGAAGCAGCGACTTATAAAACAAATTTTATTTTATTTTTTTGAAAATCGCTCGGTGTGGAGCGATTTATTTAATTTTATTTATTTTTTTTAAAAAAAGCAAGTTTAAGAAATCGCTGCTATTGCAGCGATTTCGCTTTTTTCAGAAGGTAAAAATCGCTACACGGTGAGCGATTTTACCGTTTTAGTTTTTTTTAAAAATTAATATGTCCTTTTGGAATTTTTGATAATTTTTTTTACCCTTTTAACTCCGCACTCACAAATATTAGCTTCTTGTATGAGAAGGATATACATGGACCCCAATAACCTAAATTGAGACAACTACGTACTCTTTCTCAATGGGACATTAGCTATTCTCAACCTCAAATTATTCAATCACACACATATTTTGTATTGCATTAAAGAGTAACAATAACACTACACCAACTCAACAAAGCATATCTGTCGTATTAATTAAATGCATGACGTTTGTTAAAGTTTCTCCATGCTTATATTTTTCAGTTTTTATATAATTATTATGTCTAGTGACTACATTGATTAGATTAATAGACAAGAAATTATTATTACATTTTAGTCCCTTTTGGTTAATTAGATTTGGATATATTTATTGCATCATACTTGATCATGTATTAATTGTTGACATGAAGAGGTGGATATATACCCTACAAAACAATATGATTAGATTATTAAAGTTGCATATTGTTTATTTCACCGTGCATGCCGCATGGTTCAACCTCATCATAAAACTTAATTAGTTCCTCTTTTACTTTTCTTCTTACAATATTCACAACCCGTGCTCTCATCTTTTTTAATCTCCTAATTGATATATTTCGTAGAGATTTGACTAAATTTAAATAATGTTATTGATTAAAAAAAAATTCTCTCACTGATTGAAATTTGAAATATCTAATTAACAAATTGAAGAATCTCGATTATTCTACCACAAAGTCATATTGATAGATCATCTTCTTTGTGAAAGGTAAACAAGGAGAACAATCGACAATACCTTTCTCTAAACCATTCCTTGCACAACATATTAAAAAGAGTCTAATGCAAAAGAAAGTCCAAAAGTAAGAGGCTATTAAAAAAATTAAAATATGGGTAAGAATAACGTATGATATAAAAGAAATATATTAATAAGAGTTGTGGCAGTGGTTTGAGCTTGAGATTTTATGTTGGAGGTCTCAAGTTCGAAATTTCTTATCAGCGAAAGCAAGGAATTTGCCGGGTCTGGGTCGAGCTCGTCACACCAGATTTGCCTTGTGTGGGTTACCTCTCCTATGTGATTTGCGAGCTATTGCATAGAAACGGAGATTTTACCCAATTTGCACTCAAAGGGTAACGACTCCCAATTTCCTTTGTCATAAAAAAAAAAAAAGAATTGTGACAGAATGGATAAGATTTCTTCAATTCTAATCAGAGATCATGTTCGATCCTTAGACCTGAAGATATAAAGCAATAGTTCTGTTGAAACACATTTTTCTCTTAAATAAGCTCGATGTTATACAAATCTAAATTAGTTAAAGGTTGTAATATATATTAAAAAAAAGTATGATCTCTTTGAATCTTGGCAGCTGACCAGGTTGTTTCATCGTTTTAACCATCACAATTGTCTTTTTGTCTTTGTCCCTTCTTATTTGGCCATCCAGCCTCATTCTTTTATTTTAACTTTGTTTTATACTGAATATATATATGATTCTCTTAATAATATTTTACGTAATTTGCAACAATATGTTTGTTCATATAGTAAACCTTTAATAACACCATCCATTTTGATGTGACAATCATAACATATATTCTTTTTTAGAATAATTTGATGTTAGAACCATTAACAAATAATATCCTTTTTCTCTTAATCATATGTCTCGAGTTCAAGTTTATGTATAATAATTTATAGATTTTTTCCGAATGAAAAACTACACATCGTGAAATTGAAATGATTCAACTTCAATATAAATATCAAACACCGAAAAAAAAAGCAATCAAGATTGACAACTACTTTCTTTATATTTGATTAGATCTAAAAACATTTAAAAATATGTCATGACATCTTTTTATTGTTAAAAGATTATGTTAAAAAAAATTTAGCATTATTTTTGTATTTAAAATTACTTTCTTTAAAAATAGATTATGAGTAAAAGTGTCACACTAAAATATGAAAGGTGGAAAAAGATATACCCCTTAAGTTTCAATTTACTTATCTCACTTTTTCTTCAATTTATTTTTTTTTAAAAAACAATTCCTTAATTTTATTTTTTTCATACAAATATTTATAAGATTAGACAATGTCTAACATATTTTAAATATTTAAAAAATTTCATAATTTATTTCGAGTCAAAATTTAATTTAATATATTATGAATATTTAAAAAAAATTTTTAACTCCGAGTCAAAGTTAAAATTAGAGAAATAAATGGAGAATAAAACAGTTGGACTTTGCACTTTACTCTGTTATATACATCCATTTTTTCTCTTTCTTCTGCTAAATTAAAAGTGATTGTCTCATTTGCTTAATTTCTTCTCCTATAAAATGAATGCAATGTGTATATTTAATGATTTTTCCAAAAAATAAAGAGTATTGCCTATAAAGTTGCTATCTTTTTATGTTATTTGATTTCATTTACTGATCAAAAATTGAAGTAGAAGAAGAAGAAGAAGGTTTACCAGATTTTGATTTTATTGAGTGATTCTGAATATATAATTCAGAATTTGAAAGAAGAGTGATGCAATGAGGGATGAGTATTCAAAGAGAAGCAAGGTGAATACTCATAGCACAACCCCTTTTCTCCTTTTGCTTTCATTTTTCTTTGGAAAATGCAATTTTTGGGGTTTTGTACTTTGATTTCTGACATTTTTGCCCTTTGATTTCTGAAGCTGTCTTGGTCCAGAAAATTGGTTAGGAAATGGTTCAGTTCAAAGGGAAAAGCTGTAGAATTTGAATCTGTTTATGGAGGTCAGCATCTTATTTTTTCTTAATTAGGTTTATGAATCTGTGTTTTACCCTTTTTCTTTTGAGGGGTTGAAATGTTTATTCTGAATTGGGTTTTTCTTCTGGGGTGACTAAAACTAGTAGATTGTAACTTACAAAATTTAGTCAAATCTTCGTATGGTCACTCCACTGATACGCTAAGAAAGTCGCTTTCTTTGTTGAAGAAAATCGGAATTAAGAGTAAAGACGGCTTTTTTGAGATACTAACTATTAGTTGAGTAACATTCTAAATAGAATATTTTGTTTTATTCTTGTGTTAAAACTTTGCGTGATGGATAATAATTTCTGTCTGCAGCACATGTGTTTGGTGATTAGTGAAGGTTTTGTCTCATATTGAAATTGTATTTATTCACTGTCTTTACCTCCAGTAGAAATTGATGGGTCTCTCCCCTTAAGATTAAGGTAAACATAATCATTCCTAATTTTGTGAAAACTCAGTCGGTGTACTAAGTTCCTGCTACGTGTGAGGTTCGGAGAGGGACTGATCACAACTTCACAAGGGTATTGTATGCAGCCTTACTATGCATTTCTTCAAGAGACGGTCTCCATAGCTCGAACCCATGATTTGTGCAATAGGCTGTTTCCAATTTTTGTGATTTGTTTAAATTGTTGTAAGTTATAGTTTTTTACCAACTCTTCAATTCGGAACTAATGTTGATCTTCTCTTCTTTAGGAAGTTATGAGCGGAGAACAAGCATCTTGGAGTGGGAACATTGCGCAATCAAGAAGACCAAAACAGGTTAGTGGCACGATTAATATTCCAAATCCTTATAATACCCTATGTAGTATTTAAGAGATTCTTCTTACGTGACTTGAGTTAATTCTAGTCTCTTTGCCCTCTCAAATGAGCAGAGAAATCAACCAGGTGTATGGAGCATCTCCCACGGGGGAGTGTTAGTCTTGATCGCCCTAAGATTATAAATGTACAAGATTATAGGTTTGTCTTCTTGATAGATTTTTCAGATTTTGTCTCTTTTTCCTATATAGTTCACTACTCACTACATGAACTTTTTTTCGCTTTATTTCTTATTGCCTCAGACTCTTTGTGTCTACATGGAATGTGGGTGGAGAATCGCCGCTAAGCAATTTGAATCTAGATGAATGGCTTCATTCTTCACCCCCTGCAGATATCTATGTGCTTGGGTATGAGCTTTCAGAGTTGTTTCTCATCTATTCCTTTACAAAATTTTTCATATGCCACAGTTGACTGAAACATTATCTTAGGTGACATTTTACCATGGTTGACTGAAATGTTGTTATTACATTTCAGATTTCAGGAAATTGTTCCTTTGAATGCTGGTAATATCCTGGGAGCCGAAGACAGTGGCCCTGCTAAAAAGTGGATCGCTTTGATCGGGGAGACACTAAACAGCGGTCCTGGTACTAGTGGAGGTTATGGTTGCTACTCTTCTTCTCCTGTTCCAATTGCCGAGTGGAATGCTGACTTTGAGGGGTCAAATAGATACAAAACATCATACTTCTCTCATCGTCGGTCAGTTCAGACACCTCAGTATGGAAGCATGGAAAATGATCCATCAATCTCGCAACTTTGTGTGGATGGACGATACAGTGTTTGTGATCGTGTAATTTTTGGACATAGGTTTAGTGATTTTGATCCTAATAGGGAGCGGAAGCCAAGTGACTTTTCATCTTCTCGCAGACCAAGTGACTATACCTCTTTTCATAGGCCAAGTGATTATTCATCTGGTCATAGGCCTAGTGACTATTCCTGCGGACAAAGGCCAAGTGATGTCTCCAGATGGGGCTCATCAGATGATGAGTATGGACCTGGAGATTCACCTACCGATTCGTTTTCACCTGTAACGAATAGAGGGTATGCTCCTGCGGAAGATGGTTATAGAATGCCCCGAAATTCAACCTACTGTTTAGCAGCAAGTAAACAAATGGTTGGTATTTTTCTCACCGTATGGGTGCGGGGTGATTTGAGGGAACATGTTCGGAATCTGAAAGTATCATGTGTTGGCAGAGGGTTGATGGGGTACCTTAGGAATAAGGTAATTCTAAGTGGAAAAGAGCTTGGTTATGTTTTGTCTAACTTGAGAGATTTCCACATATTGACTTAAATACCATCCCATATTTGGTTTTGCAGGGATCTATTTCAATGAGTATGCAGTTGCATCAAACAAGCTTTTGCTTTGTCTGCACTCACTTAACCTCTGGTCAGAAAGAGGGTGATGAGTTGCGCAGAAATTCTGATGTCATGGAGATCCTAAAGAAGACAAGATTTCCGCAAGTTAGTCGTGTGGATGAAGAGAAGTCACCAGAAACTATTCTTGAGCACGAGTAAGAAGGCTGTTTACTTTCTGGAATAATTTCTATTGCTGTTTCATGTAGTTAACTGAAAAATGAAAATGATGGAAAGGCTTGAGTTTAATATAGTTGCTTACATGTACAACCATGATTAGGTTATAAATTCGTTTCATCTGAGATTATCCAATGCATCCATTTTCTGATGATTTTCCAATTCTCTTCAGCCGGGTTATTTGGCTTGGGGATCTGAACTATCGAATTGCACTCTCTTATCGTTCTGCAAAAGCACTTGTTGAGATGCAAAACTGGAGAGCATTGTTGGGAAATGACCAGGTCTCCTTGCAATTTTGTGTTTTTTCCCCACTTTCATGCTTGAAATTTATTTCACTTAAATAATGTCATAGGGCAATAATCAACTGATCTTGTTTTCTATTTCCTTACAGCTGAGGTTAGAACAGAGACGTGGTCGAGTTTTTGAGGGATGGAAAGAAGGAAAGATATATTTCCCACCAACATATAAATATTCTAGGAATTCAGATAGGTATTCAGTTGATGACATGCAACCAAAGGACAAGCGTAGAACACCTGCATGGTAAGTGATTTTTTTTTACTACCAAAAAGAACATATATTATCAATCTAAAATCTCTATACGGTTTATCAAAATATCTAGTGGAGGATCAGGATTTATATACAAGTCTAGAATTAATCTGTGCAATCTCCATCTGAAGGTGTGATCGTATTTTGTGGCATGGTGGGGGTCTCCAACAGTTGTCTTATGTCCGTGGGGAGTCTAGATTTTCAGATCATAGACCTGTTTTCAGTATGTTTTTGGCCGAGGTTGAATCAGAACACATTAGATTGAGGAAAGTGAGACGTTCAAGCTCAAGAATTGAGGTGGAGGAGCTCTTGCCTTACTCACATGGTTATACCGAACTATGCTTCTTTTGAAGTAGAAGTGAGGACATAAATCCTCAGTGTCTGGTGTACTCCCCTTTTTTGTCTAGGTACACTTTATCTTTTGACTTCTTTATTTATGTGAATCTTATTTTTGTATATGATCTCTATGGGGTGCAAACTAGGACATGAAGTGCCCAATGAGGAAAGAAAGCTCTGTACTTTTCTCTTTTCTTTCTCCCAAGATTTCTTAATTGGTCTTGCTCAAATTCTGGATAAAGTAGATATCGACATGTACCATTTCCAGGCATGATGTTGTGGTTTGGTCTCTGAGATTCTCAGTAAGATTGCTCTTCAATAGAATATTCTGGCATATGTTTGAACCTGCTCGTGATACTACTATTTCTCAAGTCTCCTAATTAGCCTTGTGCCTCAAAACTCCAAAGTGCTTGTAACCTTTAAATGTTCGTCTAAGTATATTAGTGAGTGGTACTTATCTTATCTCTCTTCCCTCACCAGATTCGGGCAGGCGTTGCTTTGGAAAACTCAACCACAAAGGGATACTGGGGACCATCCATATCCCACAAATTGAAAAAGGTTATTCCTTCTCTGTCCTTAAGATAGACTTGAACTGTACATTCTTTTCCCTTGCAAGTTAACACTTCATTAGTAGCAAAATATTGATGTTCCATAGTGTTGTCATCTTTCCTTCATTTTGTTAGGTAATTATGATGTACTTCAGCATTATTTGTAAACATAGGTTATCTGCCTGTTAATATCATGGGCTGATCAAAGAGGATTTATCCAAACCCCCTTCAGAAAATAACTCTGTATATAGGAACAAAATTTTGTTTTGTGTATCTATATTAGATGTTGAATCCCCCCAACACAAACCAAAAGCTCAGTTCAGTGATAAAGGGGGTTCAAATTCTCTGACTTTCGTGCTAGCCATAGTTTCTAATGGCTTTTTAGCTCTTCGTGTGTTTTGTTTCTTTATTTTGTTTTGAATCCCTTTGGCAACTCACGCCACTGAAGTAACTGTCCGCTTTATTACAGAATCTTCGAGCTTGGTGGCTTTGGTGAGATTATGGCCAGCCATGCAAGAGAGCACGGTGTGTCAACACAGTTGATGTCTGAGCTGTGGCTACGAGTCTGCTTTTGGTATCTCAGTTATGGAAGATCAAGTTGTTGTAGGTCCTTGAGAAGGTGAAGTTAACTACAGTCAACAGAACAAACTGTCTTTGGGACTCTTTTCCCCTTGAGCATTGGAAGCTGAAGCTAATGCCTCGCCACGATACTAATTAGCTTCTTCTTGTTTGGTCAATTTTTAACAAGATGAGCTCGAGCTACGGTTAAATAGGACTACCAAGAGAGAAAATGACAGTTCAATTTGTTTTAGACCAAAGATTCAACGGCATAAAGAGAACCAGACATGGTGGAAAGTTATCATGTTTGATTATCTGGTGTGTACTCTATTACAAACTTCAGAGGAACACAAAAACACAAACTAAGAAAACAAAGAACAGATTGTTATACCTCATTTTAACTTGAGGTTCGTACTGTGTACAACATATTGGTGAATCTTGATTCTATTTTAAAGAATCGCCACCTAATTATGTTAAAAGGTGAATTAGGACATCTATTTTACTAAATTACTAACTTTATATGATTCTACGTAAGGGTTCTAATTTATTTTGAAGGGAAGGTATAAGACATCTTTTAAGATCCGTTTAAAATAGTTGACCGGTCAAATTTAGGTTGATTAATTTTAAAAAGAGATCGGTGCTAAAAGAATTTGTGAAGTCAAATTGGAAAACATTTTAACATTTATGTACACTCTTGAACTACAAAAATTTTCAAAAATACACGCACATTTTAATTAACAAAAGAGTACAGAATTTAAATTAGTACTCACGACCAAAAGTAAGCTTCACAAGAATATTTGCCGTCATGACTTTTAATAATATAGCACTTAGTTTCTAACCATATATATATATATATATATATATATATATATATATATATATATATATATATATATATATATTTGTAACTAAAACAGAGACTATAATCATCAGCTATAACATATGAAAAATTGAGAAATTTGAGTAATTTTTTAAAAAGGGTTTGTAAATGTGTATATGTTTAAAAATAGCGTGAGCATATGTAATGGTTCCTCAACTTATTACGGAGATCCTCATAAAGTTTTTTAAGAAAAAAAATTTTCGTGTGCTCTAGGGCGCCAAACCATGAGCTATAGCACATGAAAAAAATCGAGAAATTTGGATAAATTCTAAAAAGTGACTTATAAATGCGGAAATATGCATTATAAAATGTTATGAGTATATGTGATAGTTCCCAAAGTCATTACGGAGGTCCTCATAAAGTTTTATAGCATACAAAAAAGCAAGAAATTTGAGTAATTCCTAAAAAAAATATGTAAATGCAGAAATAGGCGTTAAAAATTAGTAAGAGTATATGTGGTTGTTCCCAACACATTACGAAGGTCCTCATAAAGTATTTTGAGGAAAATTTTCGAGTGCTTTGGGGCGCCAGATCAATGAGTAACACACGAAAAATCGAGGAATTTAGGTAATTCCTAAGAAGGGACCTGTAAATTCAAAAATAGGAGTTAAAAATGATGTAAGTATACGTGGTGGTTTCTTTAATTCATTATAGAGGTTCTCATAAATTTTTTGAGAAAAAAATTTTCGGGTGCTCCGGGGTACCAGATCCATGGGCTATATAGCATACAAAAATCGAGGATTTTGGGTAATTCTTAAAAAAGGGTCTCTAAATGCGGAAATAGGCGTTAAAAATGTTATGAGTATACATGGTGATTCCCAATTCATTACAGAAGTCCTCATAAAGTTTTTTAAGAAAATCTTTTTGGGTACTCTAAGGCGCTAGATCCATGGTATATAGCACACGAAAAATCGAGAAATTTAGTTAATTCCTAAAAAGGGCATGTAAATGAAGAAATTAGCGTTAAAAAAAGTGCGAGTATGTGTGGTGGTTCCCCAACTCATTACTGAGGTACTAATAAAGTCTTTTGAGAAAAAAAATTACAGATGCTTCGAGGCACCAGATCCATGGGCTATATATAGCACATGAAAAATTGAGGAATTAGGGTACTTTCTAAAATGGGGTCTGTAAATGCGGAAATAGGCGTTAGAAATAGTGTGAGTATACGTGGAGGTTCCTCAACTCATTATGGAGGTCCTCATAATTTTTTTTGAGAAAAAATTCGGAGCTTCACGGCGCTAGATCCATGGGCTATAGCACACGAAAAAGCGAGAAATTTGGGTAATTTCTAAAAAAGGCATGTAACTTCAAAAATAGATGTTATAAAAATGGTATGAGTAAACGTGGTGGTTCCCCAACTCATTACGGAGGTCCTCATAGAATTTTTTTGAGAAAATCATTTTGGGTCCCGGGTTGCCAAATCAATGAGTAGCACGGAAAATCAAGAAATTTGGGCAATTCATAAAAAAGGGTTTGTAAATACGAAAATAGGCGTTAAACAATGGAGTGAGTATACGAGGTGGTTCTCTAACTCAATACATAGGTCCTAATAATTTTTTTTAAAGAAATTCTTTTTTTTTAATCCTCCGGGCCACAAATTCATGGGCTAGGACACGAAAAATCAAGGAATTAAGATAATTCCTAATAAAAGGTCTGAAAATGCGAAAGGTGTAAATAATGGTGTCAGTATACGTGAAGTTTCCCCAACTCATTATAGAGGTCCTCATAAAATGTTTTGAGAAAAAACTTCTGGGAGCTCCGGGGCGCTAGATCCATGGTCTATAGAACACAAAAAGTCGAGGAATTTGAGTTATTCCTTAAAAAGTGCATGTAAAAGCGAAAATATGTGTTTAAAATGTTGTGAGTATAAGTGGTGGTTCCCCAATTTATTATAAAGGTCATCATTGAGTTTTTTGAGAATTTTTTTTCTTGCATCCTCCAAGGCGCCAGATCCATAGGCTATGACACATAAAAAATCGAACTTTGGATAATCTCTAATAAAGGGTCTAATGAGAAAATAGGTGTTAAACAAATGGTATGAGCACACATGGTTCCACAACTCACTATGGAGGTCCTCATAAATTCTATTATGGAGGTCCTCACAAATTTTGATGAGAGAAAATTTTTGGGTGCTCTGGGGCGCCAGATCCATGGGGTAGCACATGACAAATCAAGAAATTTGAATAATTCCTAAAAAGAATTTGTAAATGCAGAAATAAGCATAAAAAATGATGTGAGTATACGTAGTAATTTCCCAACTCACTATGTAGATCCTTACAAAGTTTTTTTGAAAATAAAAATTTGGGTGCTCCACTATGGTATTAGCACACGAAAAATGGAGGAATCTGGTTAATTTTGAGAAAAAAACTTCTATGGTGCTTCGGGAGGGGGGTGGGGGTGGGGTGGAGCGGCAGATCATGGGCTATGCATACAAAAAATTGAGAATTTTAGATAATTTCTAAAAGGTGAATGTAAATGCGAAAATAAACGTTAAAATGGTCTAAGTATATATGGTGGTTTCCAACTCATTATGGAGTTCCTCATAAATTTTTTTAGAAGAGATTTCGAGTGCTTCAGGGTGCCAAATTCATGGGTTATATAGCACACAAAAAATTGAGGAAATTGGGTTATTCCTTAAAAAGAGCTTGTAAATGCAGAAATAGAAGTTAAAAAAAAATGATGTAAGTGTAAGTGGTGGTTCCCCAACCTATGGAGGTCCTCAGAATTTGTTTTTAGAAAAAACTTTCGGGTGCTCCAGGGCGCCAGATCCGTGGGTGATAACACACGAATAATCAAGAAATTTGGGTAATTCCTAAAAAAGCTTGCAAATACGAAAATAAACGTTAAAAATGGTGTGAATATACGTGGAGCTTCCCAACTCATTTTAGAAATCCTTATAAAGTTTTATTTAAAAAAAATATTTAGGTGCTCCGAGGCACAAGATATGTGCTATAATACAAGAAAAATCGAGGAATTTGGGCAAATCCTAAGAAGCGACCTATAATTACGAAAATAAGCGTTACAAAATGGTGTAAATATACATAGTAGTTCCTCAACTCTTTACAGAGGTGCTCAAAAGTTTCTTGAGAAAACATTTACGTGCTCCGGGGCTCTGGATCCATGGATTATATAACACACGAAAATTTATAAAATCTGCATTTACCTGTTTTGAGGCTCGTTTGAACTTGAAAATTCGCGCATTTTTCTTGTGAGATAGACTAAGTCCATTGCTAAGGTCTTAACGGATGTCCATGAAAAATTTTGGCCTTTTTATTTCGAAAATTTCGGATCACAAAAAATTCATGAACTATAGCACAAGAATAATTAAAAAAAATCAGCGTTCACCTGCTTTGAGACTTTTTTAACTTGAAAATATGCTCATTTATCTCACAGGGCGATTTGAGTCCATTGTTAAGGTCTTACGGACTTCCATGAAAAACTTCGTCCATTTTGTTTTGAGAATTTTGGATCACAAAAAATCTATGGACTATAGCACACGACTATGGACAAAATCTGCGTTTACCTGCTTTAGGGCTCGCTTGGACTTGAAAATGCGCATATTTTCCCAAAGGGATGAATTAGGTCTATTTCTATGATCTTAACAAACATTCATGAAAAATTTCAAGCATTTTATTTTGGAAATTCCAAATCACAAAAAAATCATGTATTACATTACATGAAAATCAGTAAAAATTTACATCTACCTGCTTTTTGGCTCGTTTGAACTTGAAAATGTGTTTTATTTTTTCGCGGGACAAACTTGGTCCATTGCCAAAGTCTTAAAGAACTTTAATGAAAAATTTCAACCATTTTTTTTGGAAAATCTAGATCACAAAAAATTCATGGATTATAGAACACGAAAATTGAATTAATTTGAGGTTACCTGCTTTTGTACTCGTTTGAACTTGAAAATGCGTCCGTTTTCCTTGTGGACCAAACTAGGTCTATTGCACGTCCACTAATAATTTTGTTCATTTTATTCAGAAATTCCAAATAAAAATTCATAAATTATTAGTACACGAAAATCAAAATATGTATTTACCTATTTTAGGGCTCGTTTAAACTTGAAAACATGCATGTTTTCCCCGCGGGATGAACTGGGTTCATTGCTAAGGTCTTAATGGACGTCCATTAAATATTACGGTCATTTTCTTTCGAGAAATCTAGATCACAAAAAATAAATGTATTATAGTATAAGAAAATTGACAAAATCTGTGTTTACCTGCTTTAAGGCTTGTTTGAACTTTAAGATGAGTTCGTTTTTCCTGCGCGATGAATTGGTCCATTGCAAAGGTCTCAACGAATGACCATGAAAAAATTCAACTATTCTATGTTTGTGAAATCTGAATCACAAAAAATTCATGGACTATAGCATACAAAAATTGATAACATCTGTGTTTACCTGCTTTATGCTCATTTAAACTTGAAAATGCATCAATTTTTTTCCGCGAACGAACTAGATCCATTACAAATGTAACTTATGTACATGTAAAACTTCGGCCTTTATATTTTGAAAATTTCAGATCGCAAAAAATTCATGGACTATAGCACACGAGAATTGGTAAAACCTGCGTTTGCCTGCACAGGGGCTCGTTTGAACTTGAAAATGCGGTCATTTTCCCTGCGA